CAAAAGCAATGGCAACAAAAGCCAAAATTGACAAATGGGATCTAATTAAACTAAAGAGCTTCTGCACAGCAAAATAAACTATTATCAGAGTGAACAGGCAACCTACAGAATGGGAGAAAATTTTTGCAATGTATCTGTCAAAGGACTAATATGCAGAATCTACAAAGAACTTAAACAAATTTACAAGAAAAAAATAAACTACCCCATCAAAAAGTGGGCAAAGGATATGAACAGACACTTCTCAAAAGAAGACATCTATGCAGCCAACAAACATATGAAAAAAAGCTCATCATCACTGTTCATTAGAGAAATGCAAATCAAAACCACAATAAGATACCATCTCACACCAGTTAGAATGGCGATCATTAAAAAGTCAGGAAACAACAGGTGCTGGAGAGGATGTGGAGAAATAGGAATGCTTTTACACTGTTGGTGGGAGTGTAAATTAGTTCAACCATTGTGGAAGACAATGTGGCAATCCCTCAAGGATCTTGAACTAGAAATACCATTTGACCCAGCAATCCCATTATTGGGTATGTACCCAAAGGATTATAAATCAATCTCCTATAAAGACACATGCACATGTATGTTTATTGCGGCACTGTTCACAATAGCAAGAACTGGGAACCAATCCAAATGCCCATAAATGATAGACTGGATAAAGAAAATGTGGCACATATACACCATGGAATACTATGCAGCCATAAAAAACGATGAGTTCATGTCCTTTGCAGGGACATGGATGAAGCTGGAAATCATCATTCTCAGCAAAGTAGCAGAAGAACAGAAAACCAGTTACTGCATGTTCTCACTCATAAGTGGGAGTTGAACAATGAGAACACATGGACACAGGGAGGGGAACATCATACACGGGGGCCTAATAGGGGGTCAGGGGTTATGGGAGGGGTAGTATTAGGAGAAATACCTCATGTAGATGACGGGTTGATGGGTGCAGCAAACCACCATAGCAGGTGTATACCTATGTAACAAACCTACGCGTTCTACACATGTACCCCAGAAATTAAAGTATATAAAAAATATTTTGCACTAACCTAATAGAAGACTATTGACTAGATTAACCAGCTCATGCAATGTGAATTATTGACCAGTATGAAACAGAGACCAAAGTCAGTGCTGGCTACTACTTAGGAGATGCAAAGATAATTCCTCTGGTGGACTTCTAGATTCATTTTCATTGCTCAATGACTTAGAGATAATTAATTCTCAAAAATATTCATTTGAAATAAATTCTGACAAGTTATCCATAATCCTTCCAGAATTCACTAATAAATCAAATGCACCTTTTTTTTCCTTGTAACTTCCCATTGACAATGTCATGTCATTAAAACCCAGGCTATGTGTGGTTGCTCTTTCCCACTGCAGTGAAAGACATCTCAATGGGAAATGAGTTTGCCTATTAAAAAATGTTCGTTGTTGTTTTCTATTTAAAAAAAAAAGATTATTCAAAATAATTTCTGTTAAATCAGCTACAGATAGGCCAATGGCCCAATTAGTACACCTTTCGTTTTAGTACACCTCATAGCCACAGGTAATCACTTCTTTGTGGACTTTTCCCCATTGTTCAGGATCTTTATCAGTTCCTGTATCTGAATTCAGATCCTTCAGAGGGACGCCGGCAATACTGACTTCACTCCACACAGGAACACTTGAGTCCTCATGCTCTCCAAGAATCCACCTATGACAGCTTTCAGAGTGGATATCAAGCCTTTGCCCAGTGAAGAAACGTAAAGGGGGAGTGTCCAGATTACAGCCAATTCCAGTAACACGGTTTTGGGGAAATGCACTCAATTTCCAGGATACATAAGTTACAATATCCACTAAATTAGAAACTAGTATCAGTTTGTGGTGGCGATTGTATTGGGTAATACTGGAAATAATTACTTTAAAAATGGTCACATTTCATTGAACTATATCAAGGCGTGTTTCTCCTGTTGCTGGTACACCTGCTGTAATAATGACTAGGTTGGACTTTGCAGTGACACTGTAATCTTTGCTGGAAACAATGTTTGGCATTTTTATGAAAGGGCTGCCATGTTGAAGATCCATTGTCTCACCCTTCAATTTGCCTTCGTCAGCATCCACAAAGGCAAGTTTATCACCCAAACCTTCTAATAAGATGCTGAGAGCACAGGCCATGCCAACTGATCCAGTTCCTATAATGGAGATCTTACTGGGATGAGCGGCCCCCTCCAAAGTGAAATTCTTGGCAAGTTCACGCTTGGCAGTCACCATCTTGGAAATGGGAGTGAAGGCCCAGCCGCCCCCCGACAAAGGAAATGAGCTCCTGCAGCACCTATTCTCTCGCTGGTGGGCAGTACTCCTGCAGCCCAGCTCATGGTCGGTAGCTCACGCAAGAAGCAGATCGAGGAAAGCAGTGGCAGAAATCTTGAGGTGCGGAAGAAACCGTGAGGGTTTGAAGGCGCCCTCGCCCTCTGCTACTGCGGCTGTGCAAGGCCACTCCCAGCTCGTGCAGGGCTCACAGAGACCTGGCCCCTTAATATGTTGTTTTTGGTTTTACAAATATGTGATATTTTTTACACCATTAAGACAGTTCCGAAAAAATGGATTGTGATCATTAAGGCTAAAAGTAATTTTAACTTTGCCTTTCAAAGTGCCATATTTTGTTGCTTAGAGAAGCGTTGCACCTTTGCAGTTATTTTTGTCATGGTGCTCAAACATGCTGAAACTAAGTAGGATAGATGCAAAGAGAAAGAGATGAGAGTTCTAATCTCCACTCCACACTTGGACTTTAAGAAGTTTGACTATGTGAGCTTCTTTTAAAAAGTCAGTATTACAATATGATAATAAGATTTGTCCTAACTACTTTATAAGGTTCCTGTGAGAAAGTCAGGGTGAAAAGTCTATGGAGCTTTAAAAAGAGTATTGTAACTATTTGACAAACTATGTCATTGAGTCAGTGACAAAACCAAGTCTTATGATTTTTCCTTCTTCATGAAAATGATGCATTAAAATTAAAGAAATAAAAGCTTAGAAGTCCTCAATTATCTGCTTTTTTGAAGATAAGATAGTCATGGATAAATGAAATCAATCGATAACTAGTAATGTTTAGATAATCTCAAATCCTTCTACTAGAACTGTAGTAACATTTATTCAAAATCTAATGTCTGCCTCTTTCCCCAATCACCATCTCCTTTATAATTAAAAAGTGAGGACTATGAAAAACAAAAAGGCTTAACCCATGAATTAAAATGATATTTCTCTATCATATATATAAAATGATATACTGAAATTTTGCCTTACAACTTTTTAAACTACATTTTCTTTAAGTTGGCAAGTCTTAATATGTGTTTACCTATTTATATTATCCCAAATAAGAAATTTGATGGAATCTTTTCACTTCTCAACCAGTTGTTTAATATTTGGTACCAAGATGCGTTCTATTTGTAAATATAATAGTTCTATCTCAAAAAAGAAAGAAAGAAAGAAATCTATTTTATTCCCTCCTCCCCTAGCTTCCTCATTTTCTCAGCTTTACTTGGTAGCAACATTTCTCAAAACAATTATCTTTACTCTCTAGTGTCCACTGTAACTGCTCCTGTCAAGATCCCGAGCCAGGCGCGGTGGCTCACGCCTGTAATCCCAGCACTTTGGGAGGCTGAGGCGGGTGGATCCCAAGGTCAGGAGTTCGAGACCATTCTGGCCAATATGGTGAAACTCTGTCTCTACTAAAAATACAAAAAAATTAGCCAGGCATGGTGGCATGTTCCTGTAGTCCCAGCTACTCGGGAGGCTGAGGCAGAAGAATCACTTGAACGCGGGAGGCAGAGGTTGCCGAGAGCCGAGATAGCGCCACTGCGCCACTGCACTCCAACCTGGGAGACAGAGCAAGACTCCATCTCAATTAAAAAAAAAAAGAAAAAAAAAATCTCCAGCACCTCCATCTTGCCAAATTCATTGGTCCATTCTTAGCTGCCATCTTACCTGAACCTTCAGCAGCCTGTGATTTAACTGATTCACTCTCCTTATTGAGCTGTTTCTTCACTTGGCTACTGTTGAAGTCCTGGTTTTCTTCTCGTTTTTCAGTGTTCTCTGCCTATATATTCTCCTATTCCTATAAAAGTTAGGGTGACCCAAGACTTACCTCTTACCCCTCTTCTCTGTCTACACTCACACCCAGGATTGTGCCATCCTGTCTTATGGTACCAAATACTGTTTACATGGTGATGTCTCCCAGATTTACGTCTTCCTGCACCGTCTTTCTCCTTGGGCTTTTGGTAGGTAATTCCTGCCTAAAACTTCCAAAGCTCCTTATTGTGGCCTATCGGGTCCTACAGTCGGGTTCACCCCTTACGTATGCAGCTTCTTTACCTGCTGTTTTCTCTCCTTTGCTCCTTCAGTTTCCATCACACTGGGCTTCTTACTTTTCCTATAACTGCCAAGCAGCTTCTTGTCACAAAGTCTTTGTATTTCCCATTCTTTTGGCCTAGAATGTTCTTTCCTCTGATTGTTGCATAGCTTGTATCTTTACTCCAGTGTCAAATGTATTTCTTCAGAGGCCTTCCCCTATCACTCTGTCTAAATTAGTACCTTTTTTACTTGTTTTATTTTTTTTCTTAGTATTTATCAGCACTTTATATTTTATTTTTCCCCTGTGGTAATAGGAGTCTAGGAGGGCATGTAATTAGTCTATCCACCCCTGTTTCCCTAAGGCTTATAGCATTGCCTGGCTTATAGTAGATTTTCAGCAAGTTTTCGTTGAGTGAATGAATATGTAAATGAATGGAGTTGTATGATACATTGTTTTATATGTAAACCGTGTGATTATTCCCTCAATATTTTTGAATCCACGGTATAGATAAATGTATACTATAATAGAATGTTTAAACATAAAAGTGGCTAGCTAGAACATGTTGCATGTAAATTTGTAAAAAGGAATTTCCTATGAGTGATACATGTGAAGGCTCTTTTTGTTCCCTTCTCTGGAAGTAAATTGTGTTTCCTTGGTTCTTCTCATGCAGCTGAAGAATAAGTTCATGAAAAAATTGCCACGTGATGCAGAAGCTTCCAACGTGCTTGTTGGGGAGGTTGACTTTTTGGATACTCCTTTCATTGCCTTTGTTAGGCTACAGCAGGCTGTCATGCTGGGTGCCCTGACTGAAGTTCCTGTGCCCACAAGGTAAGCTGCTCTCCTATCTGCTGGGCTCTACAATGTGCTAATAGGGTTATCTCCTCCCACTCAGGCTGGAGAATCAATAGAATGAGGAAATATTTAGTGCAAACACATTGGAGACATTTAACTTTAAATAATGACTGACTTTTATACTATCAAATTTATTGGCACTTATATAATAATAAAATAGCAATTATAATAGTTTATTGGGCAATGTACTAGGTTCTTCTTATGGATTATTCTACTTAATCCTTATAATAATCTTTTAAGGGACAAACTGTAGTTATCTGGTTTTTACAGATGAAGAAATGTCTACGAATTTAAGTAACTTGTCCGAGGTCATACAGTTAGTAAATGGTTCAGAGGTCATAGTTGCTTTCATTTACTCTGTTTTATCAGATAATTGGTAGTGGGTTTATATACACACACATATATATGTTAAAATCATCAAGCCGTATACTTAAATTTGTGTACTTCACTATTATGTTTTGTTGCAAATTTTTATTTTGAAGTGAAGTATGTTAATGTTATCATAATCACGTACTCATTTCACTGCATAGTACCTGAGAAGTTATCCTCTTCATCTACCTCTGAAACTGAGCTCCACAGAGTTATGAAGCTTGACTTGGGAGTGCAATCAGTTGACTAGAAGTTAATGTTTCACTTAAATTTGTGCTGCAGACAGTTTAAAGAAAACTTGTAGTCTTTAGATTGACAGAAAATTGTCATGAGTAGGACTTTTTTGTGGTTTGGGGCAGGGGAGTTGTTTTCTGTGGGTTTCAGGGCAAGGACAGGTGAATTTCCTTTAGGTTTCCTCATGTGAGCAGGAAGGGCTGTGAATCCTCCTCAGTGAAACATGGATCCTCCTCAGCTCCGATGGTCTGAGCATGATTAACCAACAGTGTAAAGAGGCTCAAGATTTCTTTAGAGCATGGTTAGGAGGAAAATTAAAAGAAAATTTTCTCTAGGCCTCTCAATTCATAGATTGCAGGCCATTCTTCCTCATCATACAGGTATTTTTTCAACCCATTTATATATTTCTTAGACACTTAAAATAGGAATGATACATAGGGCTGTGACTGGACAAATAGTAGTAGGAAAGAGATGATCATAGCTTATTCACTTAATAGGATTATGATGATTTGTGTTTTCTGTAACATAGCTTTTTGCTTGAAGACATTCCAACAGAGCCTTGTGGTTCTATCTGTGCAGTCACCTGGTGAACAGCTGACTCAGATAGTGGCTGAAGTCCAGCTCTGTGCCCTATGGCTTTATTTATGTCTCTCTGGACTAACTTTACTAGGGGTTGAAAGAAAAATCATGCTGAGAAGTGTTAAAGAAAATTGCTCTTGGCTTTTCATTTTTATTACCATTTTTCTTCAGAAGGTACAAATAAAAAATATTTTAAAAGGCTTTTTATTTAACAAAATATGCATGCATTGAGTGGCAAATCATGACCATTTTTGTGTTCTGCTTATCATTTACTTCTGTCTGCTCACTGACTTTTTTCTTTTATACTGGATGGTAGGGCTAGTGTAGAGGTAAAATACAGCGTCACTTAAATTAGCAAAAGGAGCCAGGCAATTCAAGTCAATGTAATTCAGTAATATTATGTAACTATTTCAGGGCAATAATCTGAACAATATATCCTTGTATGTTAACATTTTTCAAGGAAATAGTTTCATTCATTTGCTGTCCTCTAAACTGGTACAAGCCATAATCACTAAGTAGGGAGTCTCATTAGTATTTTTTGTGTAGGTAATGTGGGGCCATTTACAGTGTCTGCATCCTGTGAAATCCAATAAAGGAAATCCCACAAGGAATGTGGTAGGCATTATGAAGGACTGCATCTACATTTCATGATGTGTTTTCATGTGCTTGCTACTGTATTGTACTGAAAGGAAACCTGAAAAATCTGTGTTTGCACATATCTTTTTGTGGTCATTTTCCCTTTTAAAGGTGTAGGAAAGTTATGCTGCCATTATTAATGATTATTACTATTGCTAATAAACAGCGTTATCACCATGCACCTTCTAGGAAATATGGCTCTAGCAGCTCTCATTTCTTGTGTAGAGTTCACCAGTTTCACTATTTACTCTGTTACTTGCTTGATCTGTTTTAGCCTCCACTTACAGCTGGATGACTATCAGCTGGGTGGATGTCTATATATGTAGGGGCCCCTCTTGCCATTCATGTGAAAGGAAACAAACCCTGTTCTTTGATCTTTAGTGACTTGATAGGATATGTTTATGATTTTCCTAGTATCTTACAGGCACTTTGCTTGCCGTCATCTTATGTCTGTCCACAGAGGCCACTTTCTCTCTCTCTCTCTCTCTCTCTCTCTCTCTCTATATATATATATATATATATATATATTTTTTTTTTTTTTGGGGGGGGTGTGGGATGGAGTCTTGCTCTGTCACCCAGGCTGGAGTGCAGTGGCGTGATCTCAGCTCACTGCAACTCCCGCCTCCCTGGTTCAAGCAATTCTCCTGCCTCAACCTCCTGAGCAGCTGGGTTTACAGGTGCGGGCCACCACACCCAGCTAATTTTTGTATTTTTGTAGAGACGGGGTTTCACCATGTTGGCCAGACTGTTCTCAAACTCCTGACCTCAAGTTATCCACCCGCCTCAGCCTCCCAAAGTGCTGGGATTACAGGTGTGAGCCACCGCACCCAGCCTCATTCATATTTTTGAGCTATATAGGGGATGTATGTTCTTCTTCTTATACCATTTTACAGTTGAGAGATGAAGGCAAAGGGAAGATTCAGCATCAGTGCTGGGAATAGAACTTTAAATAGATTTCTGAATCTGAGGCAAGAGTTTTAGGGAGAGCCTAGGGAGATTCTAGAAAGGATTGGAACAAAATGTTTTAGGGTTCTCTTAGAAAGAAGAATAAAAACCCTAGTTTGTGCTTTTCTGATCTTGATTTGCACATGTAATGCAATTGGTTGTTAAGTAAGCTCCAGACTGTTAAAAATTTAAAATGTTTACCTTCTTAGTAGCACTGTAAGATTTTATATATATATGTGTGTGTGTGTGTGTGTGTGTGTGTATATATATGTTACAAGTAATTATTTATGTTAAAGAAGTAGTTTGTGATTGTCAAAACCATTAAAAACACTTAGAGGGATTGGGATGGAGGTCCTGCTAGTTCAATTTTGTCATATCCACCAGTTTAATTGCTAGCTGCTATTAGTATTTACCGCATGTAATGCAGTTGGTTATGGTGGGTTTGTGGTCCTCATGAATCCATTATGGAAGCCACAGTTTAGCCACATTTTCCAAAGCTGATAAAGATGAATAATGGGTTATTGAATTCACTGTTGTTTTCAGAGAAGGATATAAAGGATTGGTACATGCTGAGTTTATGCTAGAAATAGCTGTGATGTATCAGGAAAGAGGGGGATGCATATCTTTTCCGAAAACATCAAGTGGTTTAGGAAGGCTAGCTCCTTTTCTCATATGATGCTCTGTTTCTGCCTATAATTATTTTGTGAATGTGAGTATAGGCCATTGGTTCCGGACACAGATTATTTGGTTAATATTTCCTTTTGTCGTGGAGAATGCTGGAGGCATCCTCTGCAGGCATAATTAACTATATGAAAAAGCTCAGAAAAGTAGAAAAGGGCCTCATGAAGATTCTTCAGATAACTAGTCGGTGTTAAAAATTGTAACTCTGACTTATTTCTATTTATGAGTGAATAAAAGGAACTTGGTAACATAATTTTTTTTCCCAAGCTGTCAAAGTAGGCTGTGCCCTTGCAGTCACACAAATGTGATGTTTACTCTAATTTGTTAATAAAGAAAAAAGCTTCTGGATAAAAATAACATCTGTCCATTGACAAAAAACAGCTTGGGTCATGAAAGGAGTTTTCAGTACATTATAAAAGCCGAGTTTGACAGGATGTACTTCAATCATAAAAGTTGTAACAGCTTTCGCTTCTTTGAAGGTTAAAGGAGAGAAAACATATTTCAGGCAGAGGGAACTTCGACTTGCTGGATTGTTTTGTGTTCAGTTTTCTCAGGTTTCTCATCCCATTTCAATAATGAGGTCCAGATTAGAAGCTTCTTAAGGGTCTCAACTCCTCCAGATGACATTTTGGCTGGAGGTTATGTTTCCTGCTGCTTATGAATGCTTGGATTCTCTCTACGTGTCATTTTAAGGAGGCAGATTTACTGAATTATTCCTGATTGGAGTAATGTGAACATTTTAACTGGTATATCCACCGTGTTGGTTTGGCACTTGGTGTTATTCCATTAATGAAGAAATACCTTCTTTAAAACATAAAAATTGCATTACCCAGGAAAAAGGAATACTACTTTTATATCTGTGTTACTAAACCAATATAATTCTCATATACTGGGTTTATTGCTGTCGTGTAGACACCATTGATCTGCTGCTTCCTTTCATTCTTTGACTGGTTCTATTTAGCAGAGAATAAAGAGTAAATATTTTGCAGAAAATGTCTGTCCTCCTCTCATAGGATGTAACTTGGAGGCTCCATTCATTACTCTATCAGCTGTTGGAATACCCATTGCCTGCCAAAGTTTATGCTTGAGGACTATTAATAATGTTTTCTTACTAACTGGACAGTGTTTTGGCTTTGTTGTTATATAGTCAACCTGATAATTAACTCATGTGCCAGTTGATAAATACATTTCCATAATGTGTATTTGTAAGCTATAATCATGATGGAGGCGCTGGGGAGAGGTAGGAAGAGATACAGAGCATTTGGAAAAGTTTTGGATATTATGCATTACTGAAAAGTTAGTATTTAGATATTTGAAGATAATAATAAATGGAAGTAGAAGAAATCCATTATTTAAAAATGTACTAAGGATCCAGGTGTTAGATATTTTCCCTTGTGGCACAGCATCTGCTCCTTTTCGCCTAAACCCACACCCTTATTGAATTGAAAGATGACCATTTGTAGACAGGCAAAATAAATTGAGAAATGTGACCAGTATTTGTGTTTCTGAATGTGATTAAAGCACTATTTTGCCTTAATCATTAAATATTTTTTGTGTTTGTTGCACTCAAATCATTGATCAGTCCCTTTAGAAAAATGCATTTCACAGTCCCAAAGAAGCACTTTATAATACTATACGTAGTGGCATATAATTAGGGGCCAGCTTCAAAGGAACAAAAGTTCAGTGTCAATTGAACTTCAGTGTTAGAAGAGCTGAAATTCAATTCAAATAATGACTTCCTTCATATTTGAACAGACTTTGGTGCTTGCTGATTGCTATCTACTATGGTAACACGTGAAAGTGAGTGTACTACTTCACTTCAGAACTGGTTTCTAAGCAAATAAGTGCTAAGTGGTTTTATGGTTATTCTGGTATAAAACCTGAGTATTCAAACTTTCAGATCCTTTTCACATTCTTAATTTCTGGGATTTTAGAATCCCTTTTGGGTTGAATTTTATGATTAAAAAAAAAGTAATTATACATTCAAGGGCATTTTAGAACAGACCCAAACATTTTTTAAAGTATTTGCTGTCAGTCCTTTTTCATTTGAAGTGAGGTACATAAACAAGTAAGTTAAAAATAAAATTCTGCTAAGCAAAATGACAAGCCGTTTCTGGTACCGTAAAAATCTTACCTAAGATTTCTTGTCCCTGGCTAAGCATCGAGAAGTTCTTTCCCCAGAGTGACCTGTGGAAGTCATTTTTGGACTTCTGTTAAATCACAACCTTGGTATATCAGTTGGGTGGGTAGTATTAGACAGAAATATGTGGTGAAAAGAACAGGAGGTAAGAATGCCGATATATCTGCTCTTTGTCATTTACTAGGCACAGATCTTGAGCTCTTCCATTAACCTCCATCAGCCTCACTTTCCTCACCATTAAATGGGAATAGGATACCTTCTTTATTGCAGAGGGTCATATGGAAATGTAAATAAAGTGATGAATGTGAAGTGCTTTGGAGGCCTTACAAGCTGGGCAGGCATATGATGTTATCATTTTTATTGTCCTCATTATCTCCCTGTTAGCTGATACATGATCAATATCAAGGTGGGATTTATCCAGTGCCACCTTTTGTATATTTTTTGTAAATTTTTTCTTACCCATTTACTTATCAGATTCCCTCAACCCCAGTGCTGACATGCCACAAAGGCAAAGGCCCTGTGTGATCAGTGAGGGATTTTTTTCCAACATGATTAGAGGTGAACCGAAGTGGGGTTAAATTTGTTATTGCATGTCTCAGGACTTGTTTGCTATGGAGCAATGTTTTGTGCATTATGAAGAAAAAAATATTGGTAAATGACAAGAGGACACCCACAAAAGAGTTTTGACTGTCTGTGAATGATGCTTTATTTTGAATTTCTCTTATATTTCTCTTTCCTTACTTTGGCTGTCAGCATGTGGCTTACTTGTAGAGGACTTGGTTTTTGCTGATTCCCAGTCACTTCTGAGTAGAAATATTTCTTAAAAGTGTGGAGACGATCATCTGTCACTGCCCATATTGGGTAAGGAAAAGTCAGAGAAATGTGAAGATGCACTAAGTCTTTCTAGTTATTGTGCTTAATGGGTTTGTTCCAAAGATTCCGAAAATCAGTAGAAATGGAGAGAGAAAAAAAGTTTAAAATAGAAAGATTGAATGACTCATATTAAGTGCTTGAAGTGCACCTTTCCTGCTCAGTGAAGAAGCTTCTCAGGTTTCTATGCTAAATTCTCATTTGCTTCCAAATAAACTGAACAATGAACTGTGTTTTGCAATAGTGCAAAAAAGTATATTCTGTATTACCAATAATATGTTACCTTTGTTGTAAAGGTGAATTCTAGACCTAACCTTGTAATGAACTAAGTTAAACATTTCTGAGTTTTATGTATGTTGAGGTTGATGAAATGTGTGTTATAGCCTTTGCTTCTTTCCTTTTCCATTAGGTTCTTGTTCATTCTCTTAGGTCCTAAGGGGAAAGCCAAGTCCTACCATGAGATTGGCAGAGCCATTGCCACCCTGATGTCTGATGAGGTAGGAAATCAGGAAGATGGAGTTCTGTGAATGTCCTACTTGTGTTGTTGTCATACTGTGAATTGGCAGTGATAATTTATTCAGTTAGAATTATGTGGTTACTACACTTCCTTATAACCTGAGGTACAGTCATTTGAGACAAGTGAGCTGAATCCTATATGGTTTCAAGGCATGCCTTTTGGTTTTCTATGGGATCCTAAACTCTGTTGGAATAAAACATATTTGTATTTCTTTTGCCAAATATTTTCATTTATTAAAACTGATATATGTTAAATATTCTTTAAAAAGTTCACAGTCAGCTGGGCACGGTGGCTTACGCCTGTAATCCCAGCACTTTGGGAGGCTGAGGTGGGCGGATCACCTGAGGTCAGGAGTTTGAGACCAGCCTGGCCAACCTGGTGAAACCCCGTCTCTACTAAAAACACAAAAATTAGCCAGGCCTGGTGGTGTATGCCTGTAATGCCAGCTACCCAGAAGGCTGAGTCAAGAGAATCGCTAGAACCTGGGATGCAGAGGTTGCAGTGAGCTGAGATCGCGCCACTGCACTCCAGCCTGGGCAACAAAGCGAGATTCCATCTCAAAAAGAAAGAAAAAAAAAGTTCAAGGTCATTGTATTAATTTAAACTTTGTCTCTTGAAGTTTTAATACACTAATTCTGGGAATTCAAATGTCTATATACTATATTGTTTCAGACATGATGGGTTCTGTAAAATAATGTCTAATAAAATGGATAATGCATTTTTTCTTAGGTGTCAGAAAGTACATGTTTTTATGGTTTTCTTATTTTGTGGGAAGGAATGATACACATCTAAAAATGCATTAGCAACCATTATGGCAGAGTATCTATACAGGTACTTTGGAATTATGACCCCATTTATTTTCATAACAGCCTGGATGTTGTTACTTGCATTTGAGATATGACAAAACTCTGAACTATTCCCATAGGAGGAGAAATACTGTTAGAATAGAGGATCATTCGTTTCTGCTCCTGGGTCTTTCTGGCTTACTATTCCCCCAAATGTGTTGCTTTTGCTTCATTGCTTGATTTGTCGGTTTTTCTATGTGTTAAGTAGAGAAAGGGGTACCTTAGTTATAGATGTTCCATGTGGTTATTACTCAGGTAGCTATTTTATTCTGGGACTGAGAGCTTTATGGCTATGCTGCTTTTTCCCCTCAAGGGAACATTTATTTTACTCATCTCAGTGGATTCATTTTATTTTTTGCATTTTTATAATTTAGCTCTGTTTTAAAAAATACTTTCTCCTTAGATGTATCAATTAAGAAACTTTAACAAGTGAGATTTAGAGTGGCTTAAACAATTTGGGATTTATTTGGAAGTTTGGAGGCAGGTAGTTGCTGGGGTTATTTTAACATAATGGCTTAATGATAAATCAAGAGCGAAGGCTCTTGCTAAATTTATGGTCTTAAAATAGCATGGTTTTTTTTTTTCCTGTCAGTATGGTAAAACGACATTGCCTACCATCAGCTCCAGTCATCTTATCTGTATTTATTCAAAGTAGGAAGAACGGTGTGGTAATGCTAGCTGTATCTCCCTTTTAAAACAGGTATTCTAGAGCTTTCCCAGACAACCTTTTTCTTATATCTTATTAGTTGAAATTGTTCATCTTTCATCTGCACAGTTGGCTAGGAAAGTGAATCTGTGACTTTCCAGCCTCTATCATGGGAAACAGCAAGAGAAAATAAGGTTGAGGATGGCTGTATCAGCCACAGATTATGTGCTGGCATTTTGTGTCACCCTCCCCTCAACCCCACAACCCCCAGACCATTAAATGTTACTTAATTGATAGCTTTTAAAAATTCTTTTCCTTGAGAAGTGGGACCATCTTCTCTTCTGAAGACTAAAGAATTTGACTTATGAAGTATGAAAGATTTAGGTTATGTGTAAAGAAATTTCAGTTCATCAGCTGTGTTAGAAACATGGAATGATTGACAGAAAGGATTGTGTACATTTTGGAACCTCTTTCTTTGGAGATCTGTATAAAAGATACGAAGCACTTGCTGCATTAGATGGGTTAGTTGTTGCCTTGCTAAAAGATAGACAGATGATCGACTATTTAAGGCCCTTTGGTTAATGTGCTGCCAATATAGCCCAGATTTTTCTTTTTTAAATGTCTCACATTATGTGTTTGAGAACTCAGTGTTTGGGTCTTAACCCGATCTTAACACTCAGCTTGATCTTTTCCTTCTTGAGTTATCAGCAATTTTTATCCCAGTAGTTTTTATTTCAGGGAGTGACTCTTCAGTGTATTTCTCCAAGCCATTTTAATCCGGCTTCCATAGCAACTGTATCAGTAGTGGTACATACCAGTGGGAGCTGAAAGGCAATGTTGTTCTGTGTTATTGGTAGGAAAAAAAAAAACACATAAAAACATAGCTGTTTCTTTAGGCCTCTGCCTCTATTCTTTGAAATCATAGTCTGAATGCCTATGTTTTGGGTGACAGGCTGAATAATAGGGACTCTCAGAGCGTGGCTGGATTAATATTAATGGCACAGTTGTTACGGGCTGCCTTCTTCAGGCTGGACATGGTGTGAAGCATGTACAGCGTTCTCTTTTTGGATGAACACATCTTTTATTATTCTTTAGGTGTTCCATGACATTGCTTATAAAGCAAAAGACAGGCACGACCTGATTGCTGGTATTGATGAGTTCCTAGATGAAGTCATTGTCCTTCCACCTGGGGAATGGGATCCAGCAATTAGGATAGAGCCTCCTAAGAGTCTTCCATCCTCTGACAAAAGGTAAATTATAGGCAGTTGATAATTTTCAGTTGCTGGGATGACCCTGAGAAGGAGGTTGTATTTAAAAAAAAAAAAAGTGAAGTCAACCTATTGTTCTAATATTTTCAGGTTCCTGTTTAACTGGATGTATTTTCTCAGATAGATCACTTGTGTGCCTTGGTTTCACATTTCCTTGACACTGTAAAATAAATGTTATGTGGTATGATGTTCTTCAGTTATTATATATTGGAGATCTCAGATTACTACATGGGAAAGTATCACAGACATTCTTAGGGGATGTTTTGGGGACCCCCTGTATTTCTGGAAACACAAATTTACTGAAGATGAGTCCTTGTAGATGTACACGGTTAAGAAATTGGGTAAAATAGTTGAAGAGAAACAATTTTCTAGAAATCTATTTTTTCCCAGTTGAAACAGTTTCCCTCTTTTAAGATACACAGTTCATGGCCGGGCACGGTGGCTCACACCTATAATCCCAGCACTTTGGGAGGCCAAGGCGAGCGGATCACGAGGTCAGGAGATTGAGACCATCTGGGCTAACACGGTGAAACCCCGTCTCTACTGAAAATACAAAAAATTAGCCGGGCGAGGTGGTGGGCGCCTTAGTCCCAACTACTCAGGAGGCTGAGGCAGGAGAATGGCATGAACCCGGGAGGCGGAGGTTGCAGTGAGCCGAGATCTCGCCACTGCAGTCTGGCCTGGGCGACAAAGCAAAACTCCATCTCAAAAAAAAAAAAAATATATACACACACACACACACACACACACACACAGAGTTCATTCAACTTTCCTATTCATCCAGTCGTTTGTATTGGTTCTAAATGTAACACTTAAAGAATCGTCTGTTAGATAGCAGAAAGAAATAACAATCTTTCACCTTAAGGGTTTTCACTCCATCTCTCCATTAGCCAGAGTATGATACAGCTAAGAAACAAATGAATAAAATAAACTAATATACTCTTGGGCTCTGTTGTCTTGCTTAGAAAGAATATGTACTCAGGTGGAGAGAATGTTCAGATGAATGGGGATACACCCCATGATGGAGGACACGGAGGAGGAGGACATGGGGATTGTGAAGAACTGCAGCGAACTGGACGGTAACTGACAGTTTCCTTTGCCATTCATGATGAGGTTCTCCTTAAACGTAAATTTCCCTTCATCTTTCTATCAGCATATTATTCACTAGTTTGTTCATTTGTTCAGTCAACAAATATTTGCGGTATACCTATTTGTCACGGGCCCTGGGAATATAGCAGTGAATTAAATGATACTGTATTCCCATAAGGATCTTGTATTGTAGTGAGAAGACATAAACAATAAGTGAATAAGTAACTGTGGTGATGGTTTTATGAGGAAAATTAAGGCAGAAGTAGGGACTTTGAGGATGGGAGTATTGTATTCCAATTTTAGAAAAGAGTGGTCAGAGAAGGCCTTACAGAGAATGGCAACGTTTGAAGAAAGTGCTACAGGAGGTGGGAGACAGACCATGTGGGTGTGGTGGGTGTGTGGGGTGGGCTGCAATAGAGTGTCTGGTGTGTGGTAGGGCTGGCACCAAAGCCAGAGAAACTAGGGGAGAATGACTGAGGGCATGTTAGGGTCAGAGAGCTGGCAGAGGACTGACAGATGTACCAGCCTTAACCTCTTGGCTTTCATAATTCCATTTCTCACCTGTATGTGCATTTAAAAGTGAGTAACATGATACAGGAATGAGTTCTCACTGTTCTGCCTCCTTAGCCTGCAGTTGGAAATTCAGGTTTCCTAAATTGCTTCAGCGAATTTCTTTCCATGATAACTCTTCCTTCCCTCCCATTAGATTCTTCCTTTTATTGGGTGTTAAGTAAGATTTTAAGTGGGATACTTATTTTATGAAGATATGACTTTTTAAAAACACTGGAGGGTTTTTGAAAATGAAAAGGTATGTCATTATAATGTGCAATTGAATCTGAATGAAATGAAGTTATTTCATTCTCCTGATGACCCACTTGGATTTCTCTCCCAAATTAACAGGACATGATTCCCCTCTCCTTTATTCTCAAAGGATAGAGAACATAAAATCTTCTCTCCTCTCCTCCCCTAACCTTTCTTTGAATAGTTTTCTGAAAATTATTTCCATTAGGAATAGCCTTTCCTTTTTCTACAGATAGGAGTTTTGGGATTTAATTTTTAATTTAATCAGAATATATTTCATTCTTTTATATTTCACCTTTGCTAAACTGAGTGTCTGTAGTATGCCTGGTACCATGCACAGCCCTGTGAATACTAAGAAAACTGAAGCAGGGCACTGAGTGCGGCTAAGGTCCAGTGGGTACGCAGACAGATAGATGGACAATCCTAATAAAGTGCGATAGCCAAGAGTGGAAATACGAACTATAAGTGCAAGGTCAAGGCTTCAGAGAGCTGTTGAGCTTTGGAATAGGGCATTCTAGGCAGAAACCCTGGGGAAGACTGAGGTTTGAGGTTTGGTTGGGAGGGTGAGTAGACTGATGTGCAAGTCACTCAGCTGACCTGCTGACACATGTCATGCGGCTCAGCTGCATTTCCTCCCATCACACACCTGCATGGCTTCCTCCCTTAGTTCCTTCAGGTCCTTACCCTAAAGTCACCTTCTTGGAGACCTTTTCTGGTCACTTTGTCTAAAATTTCAACCACCTTTTCTCCAGTACTACATAATGCTCTTCCCCATTTAATTTTTCTCTTGATTTTTATCACTATGTGTTGCATTTATTCATTTATTGTCTGCCTCCTTTTGGTCCCCAGAGTAAACTCCATGAAAGCAGAGTCTTTTTGACACATGTTGTTCACTGTTATGTCCTCAGCACTTAGAAGAGTGCCAGAGTGTGGGCATATTTCAAGTGCTTAACGGCATTTATTGAGGATGAAAGAATGGATGAATAAATGAGTGAGTGAATGAATGAATGAATGAGAGTGGAAAGGGTACTATGGCAAGATGATGAAGGGCCTTTATATGATCTGCTCACATATTTGGATGTTTTTCTCTAGGCAATGAAAAATGTTAATGTATTTACACAGTTCACTCTTTTCTAAAGACCAACTAGCTGGTCTTCAGGAAATGTGACACCTAACTTGGTGACCCAAAAAGAAAGAGATAGAAGAAAATTTATTCCTTTATCGTTTTCTGGTTTCATCATAAGTGTTTAAGTAGTATCTTGTCACTGATTCAAGCATTTTAAATATGTTATGTTTGATTTAATGAGTTACTTCTTGATTAATTTGATGGTAATTTACTTTACATTTAGTGGATGTTTGCCTTCTCTCTGCCCAGGTTCTGTGGTGGACTAATTAAAGACATAAAGAGGAAAGCGCCATTTTTTGCCAGTGATTTTTATGATGCTTTAAATATTCAAGCTCTTTCGGCAATTCTCTTCATTTATCTGGCAACTGTAACTAATGCTATCACTTTTGGAGGACTGCTTGGGGATGCCACTGACAACATGCAGGTGGGTATGGTTTTGAGGAGGACACAAATAGTACAGCCCAGATTGCCTTCCTCACCCCTACAGCTCCGTTAGAAGCAGATGGCCTTTCAGTTACTCAGCGTGATTTTCTTTCTTTTGCTGGATGCTGCATTTTACTTTGCTTCTGGCCTGCTGCTGTATTTCCAGCATTTTAGTAATTATAAAAATAGCTCGATGAAATCTGGCTTGAGTCACAAGTGGGGAAAGGAAGGGAAGGAAATGAGGATATACAATTCTATTTGGGCAAAAGCATATCAGCTGCTTTAATTTTGTACAGTGCACAAGGTTTAGATCTTCTACTACTTTGACTATGTGAAACATATTCTGTTAAACTTGATGATTACACTTTCTTCGGGAATGTATGATTAGCTTAATTTTACACATGAGCAAATAGCATGGAACCATTGAGTGATTTGCTCAAAGTTGGGTTTGCATGTTTACCAGTAAAATTTGGTTTTAATGAATACAAGCTAACAGTTACATCTCCTGTAGGTGGACCTGATTCTCGTTACGCTGTAACAACTCTGGCTTGACTTATTTTCTATGATTAATTGTAACCACAATTAGTTGGTTACTTCGCAGATAGCATTACGTTTCCTTTGCAACAATAATAGCTAAAGTTTTGGTGACAGAAAAGATGTTTTTGGTTCCCTCTACCAACCAGAAAAATTTGTCCAAAATTACTTTTAGTTGATCCAATCATTTGAAAAAAGGTAGTGTGCTAAGTGATGAATACAAAGTAGTGAATGAAGTTATATTCCTATGAAAAGGACCAGATTGAAGCCCTTTTCATACTTTTTCTTCCACTTTACTGTATAGTATTGTATAATATATGTGGTATTCTAAGTGATGCCAGCCAGCTTATTTTTTAAAAAATGCAGCTGATTCCATAGGATTGCTTTTTTTCTACTTTGGCTTTCTTTCCTGGGCACATGCATATTTTAGATCTTTGTCTAAATACAAAAATACTATGGAGATTATAACATCTGTGTTGACCTAAGTAAAAAGGGAGAAATTATACAATTGTATTTTAGTTTGTCAAGTGCAGTTTTATCTTTTAGTTCTTATCTAGCACTTCGCAGCATGTTACCCCAAAACTTAGAGGCTTGAAACAACCATTTGATGACTCTCTTTCATGGTTTGGATGGTGAGTTGGCTCAGCTGAGTAGTTCTCTCTTTGGTCCCTCATCCACTTGCAGTCAGATGGCAGCAGAGGTTGAGGTCATGCAGCAGCTTCTTTACTCATGTGTTGGTGCCTAAGCTAGGATGTCCAGAATATTTGGGGTCTGGATACTCTCCTCACGACTTCTTCACATAGCTAACTTGGACTTTCTCACAGTGAGGAGACTGTGATGACTTCTGAGAGTTCATGCTCCATCAGAAAGAAGCAGTTGCCACTCAGCTTTGCTTTTCCCCATGTGAATGTGTACCCAGTATTGCTTCATTCTCTGATCTTCAAAGAGAGGCTGAAAATTCTAATTCTTAGTGAAACCAGCGATTTTTAAATATTGGCAACTGATTAACATTTTAGAAAATAACATCGTGCTGGTCAAAGAATACATATCTCTGTGTTACCAGTGAGAGATCTGCAGCATGGGTTATAAGAACCAACTCTAATGGGACATAGAGATGAAATACACAGAGCGTGTTTGTCTCCTTTCCTCTCATTTGTAAGACAAAAATGAATACATTAAATTGTAGGAGTGATGTCAGTAATAGAATTTTTATAAAAGTTGATCTATATCCAAGTTGCACAGCTATTCTTCATCTAAATGACAGCATAAGGATAACTAAAACAGATCGTTCAAGAAAAAAAAAATGGAGAAGATGGCACTGGGGGAACACCCTATGGCCAGCTTGAAGAAGTTAATACAGGCAACCACATGTTAAGAAAATAGAAGAAAGCTGTGATTTTGAGAGGGTGGTAAGAACAAAACTGTCTTCCGTCTGTCAGTCTGTCAGAATGTATAGAGACTTTCTTGTGTTGTGCAGATAATTTTTAAACATTTTTTGGTGGACATCCTCATTGAGATGGGGACATTGCAATATTGCCTATGTGTATTAGTTTATTGACTTTTTTGAATTGAATTGTAATTCTTTGCAACCTCATAAGACTTGGCTTTATAATGTTGCATCTAACTGTAGAGAAGAAATCTGTTCAGATCTGTTTTGATCCCTCCTAGATGGATGAACTTCCATATAAGTAAGTTTTGGGAAAGTAGAGGACTCTATTATGTAACATACATAGTTAATCGGTATTTTTCTCCTCTGTGATGTATGACCTGGGAAAGGCCTTGCTGGTGGAATTAGCTATTTTCTGTGTTCTAAAGATTTCAGGAGAAACGTAAATACTTTCAGTGCTTCAGGATGTTAAGTAGTCCACTAAAATAACCGTTTGCTGGATGTGACTCCTAGGAGTTGACTTTCAAATGTATGGGGAAATTTTCCAGATGTAATTTGATTATTTTATTAATAAATTTTGTAACATCCATTGATAATTTCACTGAAACTGTGGGTGGATTGTTTGAAAATACTGAAGAACATATTTTTCACTCTCTTCTGAAGCTTTTTTCCTTTAAGAAACATATTGGTAATGTCTTTCTCCTAGACTACAATTTGATACATCTAGAAGTCACAGTAAGTGGCAAAAACACTGAAAAAGAGGGATAGAAAATTAATGACTATTAATTTAAATTTGTTGAACTGAAACTTAACAAATATTAATAATTTTATCTATTTTAAGGACTAGGGAGTAAGGTGATTTCATATGTGGAAGGTAATCTCTTGATTGAAAGGGTGTGTACTTTACCACACAAAATTTTTGATTTTCTGGCAGGAGAAGTCTTCTTGACCTGGGACCAGGATAAGAAAATATTTTATGGATTAGGTGCTAAGGCCTAGGTCATTTTACAAGTCTATGGCAGAAGTTGATTCATTCATTGCAAGTATTTATGGAGTGTCTACTATGTGTTTGACACTGTTTTAAGTGCTGGAGATAAAGATAGATGAGCAAAATAGACAGGAATTCCAATTTTGAATCCCAATTATAGTGTAGGGTGTTGATGAAAACAGTCTTTTACAGTTACACCCAAGAGATACCAGTAGTGGGGTGTAGTGGGCTTATTTAGGGGATGAAGTCCTCTGGCTTCACTTGCTTTTCTAAACAGTAGACCAAGACTAAGCAGAAAAGCATTGGCAGAGCCTGAAATAGTCTGCAGTTATGTCACATGCCTTCATAAATGTGGCAGTGGGTTATTCTCAAAAGTACAGGCAGCTCAAATGAGTCAAATGAGAACAGTGTCCTTGCTTTTAAAGGCAGACAGCTCAGAGATGGTTCACATAGGGCCTTTATTGTCAGGCTACAAATAGACATGGGTGCTGGGTAGAAACGTGTTGTGAAAACACAGATGAGTCACTGCATGGCTGTTGTCTAAGCAAACTCTTCTGCCAACTTCTGTTCAGAAGGTCTTGCCTGCTTGAAGCATTTATCTTAGAGCATATATATATGCATATATAATTAGAAGCAGATTATTTTGGGAGCTATGTAGATTATTTCCCATGAAATTATGTTCAAAATAGAAGAGTTGAGGCTACAGTGACTCTAAGTACAATCATACAATTATAATGCTGACATAGATGATTGCATGAATTCACTAGTTTGGCGTACACATTTTGCCCGTTATGCTGCTCTGAGAGAACTCTGGGACTTACAGAATGGGTGTTCACAAATTTCTTGTTAAATGTCAGCAGTAAACTTTAGCTGGGGCTTCTTTGAATAACTGAACCACTCAGCCAAGAGTTGATCTTACATTCATCTCAGATGCAACCCTGACTTGTGACTGTTTCCCTTTTTTATAGTTCAGCAATGGAGGACTCGAACATAAGCTTTCTGAAGTCCGAGAATTGTGCAACACTCTTATTTTCCTTTTCTTATAGTAAGTCCCACAGTAATGCTCTGGTGTCCTTGCCATATTGTCAGGTAAACAAAGACTTTTCAGCCTTACCATCCTAAAAAACATGTCCCCTTCACAACTAAACTCTCTGTAACCATGTGTGCCAACTCACTGCATTGTTGCAGTCATTCCTCGCTATCAGCAGAGGATTGGTTCCAGGACCCCTTTTCTTCCCATGGATACCAAAATTCATCAATGTGCAAATCTCTTTTACAAAATGGGGTACTATTTGTGTAGTACCTTTGCACATCCATATACTTTATCTCTAGGTTACTTATAATGCCTAATACAATGCAAATACTATGAAATATGTTATACTATATTTTAAATTTTGTATTAGCATTTATTGTTATATTGTTATGTTTTATTTTTAGTTTTTCCTGACTATTTTTGATCTGGAGTTGGTTGAATCCACTGATGCGGAACCCATTCATACGGATGGGCCAATTCATTTATACTCTTGGTTGCCAAATGAGTATACTGCTCAATTCATTTAGCTACTTCTAATTACATTGTTAAATGTCAGTGTATAAATATATTTCAGTAGAATGTATTACTACCATTGGTTTTTCATTCAAAGTACTGTCTGAATGGAACCTTAATGCAAATTAAATCAACAAATATTTATGGATTACTTAGTCTATGGGCAAGATACTTATGTAAGGAATAATTTTTGATACCTTGTGACAAGTCTTACTTAAAAAATTGTTCCTTTTAGTGTTATGAAATACAGAAAGTCTTTTAATTTAAAACTACATCGTTGATTGTGAATGAATAAGCACAGTCTAGAGTGAAGACTGAGTGAAGAAAGTAATTTTAATTTTTTTCCAGGAGTAAATATAATCCTATTTTCACAAACCTTTTAGCAAAAGAATACAGTAAGATTTTTAGATTCTGTGAATTTTGTGATATTTATGGAGCTTAACAGAGCACATTTTAAGGGAACTTGTCTCATAATAAGGAACATTTATAGTTGGCATCTCCAAATTTGAGACTTTATTTTAACATAAAGCTGTGCTGAGAATATTT